AGGCGAGAGCCTTATCAGCCGGTTATGTGAGGCTCAAGGACGACTCAACAGCAAGGACGACGGCCAACTACGATATTTTGGACCAACCTCTAGTCTTCATCTAACGGAGAGCGTCACGTCAATCTTCAAATATTGCAGTGACGTTTCCAAATTTGGAGCAGACTTTGAGAAAGACGTGCCTTGGGCGATGCAACAATATCTCCTAGATCTATATTGGAAATATCAACACAACATCCTCCATATCATTCACAAAGAAGCATTTCTCGCCGCAATGCAAACCCAGCAAGGTCCATACTACAGCCGTTGTCTGCTTCTGTGTCTGCTGGCCTCTGCTGCTCGCATTTCTGTTAGTCCTGAGATTAGAGCACTGTCTGTGCCGGCAGATGACGACGAAACCGGCGAGAAGCCGATATTGACCAGACAAGCGGAGGAGGCTTTGGAAGAGGAGCTTTTGAATCCAGGTTTAACAACTATTCAGTCGCTGATGCTACTTAGTATTTTAGACTGTTGTCAGTCGAATGACTCCTCAGGATGGATGCGATCAGGTATTCTATATCTTGGAACTTCAGCACCCTTAACTAACCTGTGCCTAGGAAATGCATGCCGACTGGCCTTTGACCTTGGTCTTCACGAGAATTGGTCCCGTATACCCAATACTAAGCTTTCGCCCCTCGACTTTGAGGTCAGGCAGGTCGTCCTTTGGGGTTGCGTAGGCTTTGACAGGTGCGGAACCTAACTCCATTTTGCTAGCGCAGAGACTGATGACGCTTTACTCAGGCTTTGGTCACTCTATCTCGGCCGGCCCCCAGTCATCAAGTTGAGTGACGTGTCCATTGAACGCCCGAATAGAAATGCCCCAACGTGGGATATGAAGATGTTTGCAGCTTGGGCCGAACTGCTCGAGCTTTCAGGTCATATTAGCGAGAAATTGTTTGTTTCTAGTCAATGTGGCAGCTTTGAGACGCTTCGCTAACAAACCTGCTCAGGAATACGAATAGCTGCTTCCAAGAACAAATTGATTTCTTCACAGGAGCTCTACAAAAATGGGATGCCAGCCTTGATCATTCCTTAACGTTCTTTCCGAATGCACCTCCAGGCATATATCTGCTTCGGTGAGTGAGCCGCCTTCATGCACTAAGTAATGTTTTGGTGCACTTACATTGACCCTCTAGGATCCAATACTCGGCTTTAACGATTCTGGTGCACCGGCATAACGCAGGATACGGCAATCCCGAGAAGAGGAAATGCCGGAACTCAAATAAGTCGCGCAGAATCTGCGTTGAACATGCTTTCATAATCTCGAATCTGGTCCTGAACTACACAAGTCATCACGGCGAGGCCAACACGATGCTAGGGTCCGCCCTGTACAATATTACTATGGCCGCCACCATCTTCGTCGCGGAGATCAATGAAAGGAATCGACACGGGGTATCCGACGAAACTGCTGCTTTAGCAACATGTCTAAAAGCTATGAGAGAGATGGAGAGTGCGGAGATCGTGGCCCGAAATCTTCGTAAAATTCTACAGTCCATCATGCGAGTGTGTCGGGTTTGTGACTTTCCTGATTATGGCGACCCTGTGGACCGCTCAACCGGATGGCGACGACCGAACGCAGAAACAGAGCTCGGTGGTACCGATGCGACGGTTTCAATTCCTATGGCCAGACGAAGAGTCGATGGCACTAATGACAACGGCAATGATTTCACCAGCCTTAATTTCGATCCATCAGCATTCGATGGAGTTTTCCAGCTACCCTTCGACGAATCCTTACTAGATCCATCATCAGTGAGTGCTTTTTTGGCATCGTGAATAGCGCTCTGTATAGAAGAACAAAGACAATTTGATGACCCAAATATGCCAATATTCTCAAGCTGCGGCAGGCTATATCACTTCTAACGTTACTATCTCTCTTATTGAGTGACAAAACCGTTTTGAGCAGCCGCGGTGCCCGAATACAGTGCCCAGCAATGACACCACACAACCTTAAGAGAGACACAAGTCCCAGCTTCGAAGGATTAATTCGACTGTATATTAATCACATCGTACAAGATAGACTCGACGTACAATAGGTCTAGAGAGGCTATCGGCTCCAAGGAAGCCTCTCCTAGGCCAAGCCAACAGACCTTCACATTCTGTTCACACAGATTGATTTGGCTTTCATCTTCCATATGACCTCGGCTAAGCCCAACCAGCATGCGGAGACAACAACTCGGGCGAGGACGGTGAATGGACTCCGAAAGACACACCCCCAAGCACACGACACTCGGAGAATACAATCCCCAAGTTTATGGTAGGGAGTGTTTCTGTCTAGGACGCGGCAGACCCTCGATAATTCGAGAATGTCTATAAAACGGCCGAACGACCTAAACTTTCTGTCTACCAGCCTGAAGTTCTGTTCAAAGTACCAAGAAAGAGGAGCATCTCGCCATCACTTGAGACCGAATCTTTCTTAGTTGCTGCAGATACAGTCTTTAATTTTTCCCTCCAAGCTTTGCCTTTACCACAGCCATGGGATCTATTGCCCCTGACTCGGGCCGCCAGGACGCGATCGTGATTGGAGCAGGCTTTTCTGGCATCTACGAACTGCATAAGCTTAAGGAGGCCGGTTTTAATGTTCACCTATACGAAGCGGGCTCTGGAACGGGTGGTATCTGGCACTGGAACTGTTATCCTGGCGCCCGTGTTGACACCCCTGTACCTACCTACCAGTTGACATCGGACGAAAGCTGGACTGGATGGAATTGGTCGCAGCGGTTTCCAGACTACTCCGAGCTACGGACGTATTTTCAACACCTAGTTAAAGTGTGGGACCTCAGCGATCTGATCACTTTCAACACTCGTGTCCGGAGTATGCACTGGGATGATCAGTCGCACCAATGGCGACTTTCAATGCGAAATACGAATACCGGTCAAGAGAGTGAGGCTTCGGCGCGCAGTGTTGTCCTGTGTACTGGTTTTGGTTCGAAACCATATATTCCCGAATTTAAAGGACTCGACAAGTTCAAGGGAGAATTGTACCACACTGGCATGTGGCCTCAGACAGGAGTAAACATGGAAGGCAAGCGTGTTGCCGTTATTGGAACTGGTGCCAGTGGAGTGCAGCTTATTCAGGAGGCTGCTAAAGAGGCAAAGCATCTCACTGTCTATCAGCGAACACCTAACACGGCTTTACCCATGAGGAATGACCTATACGATAAAACAATGAACGATGCCTGGAAGAAGACGTTCCAGCACACTAAGGATATGATTTTGAAGACGTTTGCGGGATTCGATTACGAGTTTAGCCCAGAATCTGCTCTCAAGGTGTCGCCCGAAGTCAAAGCTGAATTCTACAAGAACCTCCTCTCGAGCGGTGGCCTCCATTTCTGGCTTGGGACTTACTCGGACGTGCTTTTCAATGAGGACGCCAACAACGAGGCATACGAAGTCTGGAGAGAGAGCGTGCTGCCTCGCATCAAGGACCCTCGCAACCAAGAGATATTGGCACCCAAAGTGCCTCCACATCCTTTCGGCACAAAACGTATCAGTCTCGAACAGGGATACTTTGAGGCTTTTAACCAAGACAACGTAGATCTGGTTAGCCTCGTGAATAACCCGATCACAGAAGTTACCGAGACCAGCATCAAGACGGCGGATGGTACGGTCGCCGAGGTGGATATGATCTGTGCGGCCACGGGTTTCGACAGCGTTACAGGTGGAATTACGGCGATTGACATCCGAGGCGTTGATCCCAAACAGACGATTAAAGAGAAATGGGACAAGGGAACATACACGCTATATGGGATGACGGTTTCAGGTTTCCCAAATATGTACATGATGTATGGACCGCAGGCGCCCACAGCATTCGCCACTGGCCCATCGTCGGCTGAGTGTCAAGGGGACTGGATCACAGCGTGTCTGATATACCAGCGCGACAACAACATCACAAAGATCGAAGCTACCAAAGAGGCGGAGCAGGAATGGAGAGATCACACCCTGGAAATGGGAGAGAAAGGACTGTTCACAAAGGCAAAGAGCTGGTACTATGGCGACAACATTCCAGGAAAACCTCGCGAGGCGTTGAACTACATGGCAGGCCTTCCGACCTACCGAAACAAGATTTGGGAATCTGCCAACAATAACTACAAGGGATTTAAATTATCTACTTGTGCCTGAGGTCCAACGACTCCAAGCTCGAGGGTCAGTGAATTAGTTCGTTTCGGTTATTGTATTCGGTCAGGTTTGGTGTCAAGTTGAATGGAAATGCCTCACTTTTATCGACATTATTAACTTGAGTCTCCTTACATACATCAATGCCATCTATTTTCCTTAACACAACTATCTGTAGGTATGACCAAGTTTATATAGAAGTTCCAAGTCTTTCCACGGCACGCAGACCCGGCGCCCGTCCTCAAGGCTCGAACTTCTGTTGGCACAACTCCTCACTCTCCGCCCATAGCTTCTCAGCTAATGAGCAATCAACAGCCCAATCAGGCACGTTCGTAATTTGACAGTCACTCCACTACACTCCTCTGTACTTTCCCGTTTCTTCGTTGTCCACCGACGCCTTTATTTCTGGATCAGCGGCGCGCCTCAACGTGGTTGCTCTTCCCTGGTCGAGCGTTTTCGGCTCCCCTAGTCCCAGCTCATTCCACTTTCTCAAACAGCCCTATCAATGTCGCTTGGTCGAAAATTCCTATTCGGTTCCCTTCCGACAGCACCAGGTTTGGATGGCCAAAGAGAGAATACCGTATTTATGGTAGAGTCGCCTGTTTAACCCAATGGCGAACACATTGGCCGTCTTCGATTGGCGGTAAGTAGGAAATGGATGGTATGTGCCATGAGGATCCGTGTATGCCTCAGGGAACAGACTTCGAATCATTTCAATATAGGGCCGCTCTGGCTCCGGAAGAGCTGATGGTAGCTTGGTTGGTGAAATTGACATCGGAAAATCACACACCGCTGTACATATGGCCCTCAGATGCAAGGTTGATGATACGAGTTGCACCAGGCGCTTTTTTTCAAGAGGCCAAGATGGTGTTTCGGAGAACCAAGTTGATGAAGAGGAATGGCACCAGGTTGTTTACCACGAAATGCGTTTCAAATCCGTCCGGGCAGAGTTTGACATTCATCTCTGACCTCGAGATACCTGCGTTACTCACCAATATATCGATATATGGGACTTCTGCGTTGTGCATAACCGACTTGGCCGCTGCTCGGGCGCCCGCAAGGCTGGACTGGTCGAGCGGGAGACAAATACACTTTACGACAGGATATCGTGCCGACATCTTGGAGATACGCTCTTGCACTTTGGATTAGTGCTGCCGGTAAGAACGAGAACGTTGGGACTTTGTGAGGCAAATTCTTCGGCTGTACTGAACCCCAGGCCTTACGGGTTTGCTCCTGTCACGACCACAATTTGACCCTTGATTGAGTCGGCCATTCTCCATGCGTTTGCCCGATAAATCTGTGAAACGCTGGCTGATTTAGAAGCAGCGCGTTCGAGCAATGACCCTATATTCACATAAGTTTACCCGTTACAAGCCGAAATCCAAATAGCACAACGCAGCCACCGGACCAAAGATGGTATTGCTATAAGTGGGAATCTACGAGAGACCCTAGGACGAAATTGGATCAAAAGGCCCTGTCCGACTCCGACAGATGTTGCGATCGGATTTCTGGTGAGGCGAAAGAGCTATATCCACCCAGCGATGCATCTCCACCATACAACTTCGGAAACATATCTTTGGCTGGGCCGAATTGGATGAAATTCCAGATCCAGTCGAAGGACCCGAAGATCAACAGGTGCCAGGTGGAGGAAATAAACCCCAACGCCAATAAGGGTCCATCCAGCTGCGTCTCTTTCTGCCTGACCAGTCATCAGTCTCGACATCACAGAGCCGAGAAAGGATTTCTATTTGGGGAGCGAAATGAGCATGGACAAACTGCTGTGCGTGCTCTCGTCAGTCTAAGTGACTACCGATTGGCCCGAGCGGCATCGGATTGGTCTATATTCTGACATGGCCGTCGATAGGTGGTGTCAGACTACCATTGACTCTATCGTAAATCTGCATCTCCATTGCTAACCTCAACTCGGCCGAGCCAGCCGATTCTTTTCTCTTGGCATCGGATATTGGAAGTGTCAACGCCCCTATGTAGAATGGTCAGCTCGAGCCCGATTAAGTCCAGCTATGTAGTATAGTATGGAGATCCTTCACCGCCTGGCCATGAGCACAGTGGTCCTTCCCGCAAAGCCCGCATAGTCTCCTTGACAGCGAGCTGCAGTTCTCTGCAAGGCCTCGATTACATTCAGCCTCAAGTCACGTTCTCCTTCTTTGACGCCTGTCATAAGGCAAACGGTCACAGTTGGCTCCCTCTCCGCGACGATGAATATTTGTGCATAGCTTTGCATCTGTTGACAGGGTCGCGAGATCGCCACTGTGGCAAACCACCTGAGACGCTAAGCGTTTCACCAAGTGCGGAATCTACCTCAACCTCGTTGTTCTCGCAGACTTGTGATAGGATGGCGACGGAATAGGAGGTTTCAGGAATGGCTTTCAGATTACAGGCCAAAGTGTATATAAACAGACAGAGTCTCTCTGAATAGCCAGGGAGACAGAACACAATGAAGCAGATAGATCCACAACTGTTCTGTGTACAACAGCATCTCAGCCAAGGGAAGGGCGTTTGATCGCATGGCTTAACGGCAAAAGTCAAGAAATGGATCCTTTGCGTTTCCATGGTCAGGCTTGGTCCATCCTCCGGATTTCCAGGTTCATCCAGGTCTTCCTTTGCCCCGGTACCTGTCTTGAAAGAAAGAAACTCACGAAGCGTTTGAGCCACCGTTTGCGGAGCTGAGCATTGTCAAGTGCCACGGCATAGGAGCTAGTAAAAGTCAGAGCTACGATTGAAACATTGGTTGAATTCTCTAAACAACTATACGGCTCGTCATATATGAAATCAGCAAAAGCGGCAACTGTGGTGACGTGGACCACGAGAAAATGTCGATACCTCTTTATTCGCTCAGTCGACCTGCTGATGAAGTCGCTGCCTCAAGAGACCTGAGCACTATGTATCTCGGAGGATGGACTCTTGCTGACGGAGAGCATGCTCAGAAAAGGCATGTGAGAACACGTGCCGTTGTAGTTCGTGGTTCCCGGATCTCTTCCTTGATGATGCTTTCAGCAACGGAAGCAATATTCTCATGGATCGCAATGGGCGACGAGCCACCCCCCGTCGAATACTCTAGATACCCACTGGATGAGATCCGTACATACGCTGTTCGCAGTGTGAACATTACAATTTTCCAGGTCTTCAGGGTTTGGGGATGTACCCACTTAACCCCTTTTGCTCCGCTATATGGACATCTGATGGGATTCTTCGCAGAGTTTGGAGCCTCCGTGTCCGTTGTCCGCTAGAACGTGACGTGAGTAGAGGACCATCCCTCGAGTGTTAATCGACTCAAGGCCTGGGCACCAATATTTCTTTCCTTTACTCTATCGATCTTCGAATATTCAACAAACCCATAGAAGTTTAAGGAGCGCCAACCAAATACTCCAAAATCTGCAGTTGTCCTCGACAGCATCCTGCCTGCACAATTCTCCATCAAGATCCAGTCGCTTCCCGCTACTTATGGGAGCTGCAGCCTGCATGAGCGCGGTTCCCCTTTTTTTACCCTGTATTCCCCTTCAAATTTCTAACTACAACCCCGTCGGCGCCGGCCGCTTTAGGTCGATCAAGCATAGAGTGTATTGTTCTCAAACATCGCACCAATTCCAGACAGAAGTTGATTTGCATCTTCTCTGTATGGGTGTCCGTGCAAAAACTGTTGTGCGTCAGGATCGGTTTCGACAATTTTACCTGTGAAAACAATGCCTGTGCCACGTTGCAATGCCTGTGATTTGACGTTTCTGTTCGGGAAAGGCATAAATAGAAAAGTGCTCTACTGCACTAGTTCCATAACCTCTCCACTGCTCTCCAGCTCTACCCTGATCGACTGGAAAGCGGGCTGGTCCTGGGTGATATATAGTCGCGGTCTGCTGCGAAAGCGGGGAGAGGTGTGTTTTTAGTTGTTTGGTAAGCTTCTAAAGGGTTTGTATAAGAATCATCCGATCTTGACATAGGTGGTTAACATACCCAGTTGTTTGACCATACAGCTAAAAAAGGCGGACTGCCATATTGATCATTCTCTTGAAACCTGTGACAGATCCGCTTCCTAGCATAACTGCATTTGTGATTGTGCCTCGGCTGGTTTTGTGGGCATGTAAGGCCTCCCCGAGATACTCTCGGAATGCTTTCCACGTAGGAGAGTCCTGTATTTGCACGATGCATGCCTCTAATTCCTGCGCCACTCTGGCTTGGGATATCACGTTGGAGTTAAGGGTACATTGTCGTCCTCAACAAGAGGTATATCGTCGTCGGGAAAGTGGGCTGCATCAGACGAAGAATGTTGTTGTGCCATTTATTTGGTGCATTCAGAAATGGTCGTTACTATTATTAGCGATAGCTTCAATTGTTTTTATTCCCTGAATCCTTGTTCATTCCAAAATATGGTCGAGTGGCATTGTATCTATACATTACATGTTGGATCACCTTCCTACCACTTCGAGCATGAGGTGTAAAGTTAGCTTCGCTGCCTTATATCAGCGTACTTGCATAGATTGGGTAGCCTTTTACTCTACATGGAAGCTTTTGAACCGCGCCAAATCTTTCAGTCCCCGACCTCGTCTTCTAAGTTCTGCATTCTCTCTATCCTAGCTCAGGATAAAAGTCCTGGATCGCCCTCTCGCCGCGTGACCCTTGGCGGCTTTGATTGGACGGAGAAGTGGTTTAGACAAACTACAGTGTGTGGTGACCAAGAAGCTCTCCTACCACAAGGTAATCAGCTGTTGCAATCAATGTCAGCAGACCTTTCATCAAGATAATAGTAATTTGCTCTAATTTTCCCGGAGGTCTTACTAAATGTTTCTGTGTATAAGCACTTCGTCTCCCTCCTTACTGAAAATCTCTCGACCAACATCTCAAATTCTATCTTCAAATCAACCAAAGAAGCCACACTATTCACCTTTCTATTACTGACACCCATCGAGGCTCTGAAAACTCCTGGCGATCAGAGGAAAACATGAGCATAAGCGCCGTTCATCCGCACCCACAAGCATTGAGATCAGCACAGCCACCACATCCAATTCGGAATTCTCAGAACCCGCTAAACGCGCAAGCTCCTTAAGCCGGAGGTCTACAAGTAGGAGCACCAGTATCAGGGTCCAGTCAACAAGCTAGTACGGTTGATTCAGATAATATCCCATTTATGAAGGGGCCAGTGACAAATTTTACATTTCCTCTAATGAAGGGGCCTCCAAAGTGAACTCGACCACGGGCACGACATCAGGGAACACAGGTGTCAGCGAGACCAGTTCGACCGTTGCGATGAACTTCAGTGTTTAAACTATTGTTTCATGCTTGCTGCCATAATTCCATCTTCGACATGTTGGGAAGGTATTTCCATAAAGAAGTCTCGGATACTGAGCTTTTGCTGACTTCATTTCTCTACTTTGCCAGGAAAATAGTCAATTTGTCGGCTCTCTTACTCTCAAATGGCCAACAATGAAGATGCGCCCAGTCTTTGGATTGATAATTTTGCTCTTTCTTCAATTTTTTTTTTTTTTTTTTTTTTTTTAATTTTTTCACTTCTTAAGGGTCGTATTCTGTCCTTAGGTAGTATTTGGCAGATATCGGGGCTTTGGTTGGCCTACTAGACATTTACTTACTGCACTCTATTGCAAGGCGCTCAAAGACAAGCATGGAAAAGACAGAGCATTGGCTGGCGATGTACGATCTTCAGCCGACGTCGGTGACGCTTTTGAAAGCATGTTCAAAACCCTCGGTCCTCTCTATCGCACCTCTCGGCCTTCGCGTATGGTCCAAGTCTATCCTGACTGATAAATAGTCAATTGGGGTCGCAAATCCCGCGGGAGTGATTAATAATGGCAGTAAGTGGACACACAAGGCTCAAAGATACGGAAGATGAGGGGTGGGAGAGAGCGGTATGGACTCATCTGACAGTGAGTGAGGAATAGCATGCACACCGAACTTCGATTTCTCTCTATCAGGCGGCTCGACCGCCAACATCGCCAGTGTCGCCGGACAGCAGGGAACGCCTTGTAACTCTGCATATGCAGTCAGCAGAGCAGGCGTGATCTTAGTCACGACATCAGTGGCAAAAGAGAAAGAAAAAGATCAATGCAATTTGCCCGTTACTCCAGCATGGGCAGGATTTCTTTCAGCCTAAGGACTCCTTCGATTGACTAAGGAGACAGCCGTGTTGTCGACGGCTGATTCTCGATGACCTCATAGATGCCAACTGTCCATGTTTATGGCCAATGCCGACGCACGCGGATGAATCCTCCAGCATAAGAAAGGCGCTATCATGGTAAAATTCCTCTTCCACAACGACAGTTCATATTGCACAGAAATTGTAGGTGCTTTCCGGTTTGCCAATATGAAGGCAACGGGACAGGCTCACGTGTGAACTCCTCAGATGTTCAACGTCGACGGTGGCTGATAGGATCCGAAACCATCTCAGGATCCTCGACCAAAGTCGATGCGCCTTTGTTAGTCTAGTTCCATCCCAATAACGTTATCGTCCTCCCGTTCGTTCATAACGCGCAATGCTACTGAGATTTATTCCTTAGACCGGGATATTCAAGGTTAAGGTATACTAGTCATTCGCCGGCTAATAGGAGCACGTCGCGGCCACTACACTCCATCAACCGTCAATGTGACTCTCCTTTCCGATGGTATCATATTAAGCTGTCCACTGTTATCTCTTCAAGCACCAGTGCGAGGACCAATTTTGGCGGACATACTTACTGAATGATTCAAGTTTTCATTAACGGAACCACTGCTTCTTGTTCCAAGTCTCGGCCTCTGGTCCATATCACATCCGCGAATGATAAGCGCCTGTTCCTGTGTCCACAGCGTCCTTCAAGCCAGCACGAGACAGCAGCCAGCAACGCCACTGCGGCCAAGCAGCCGATTCCGAGAATAACACTCAAAGACATGGTTCTCGACATGCCATGTCGCTCTAGTCCTTGAGCAACATATACGAGCATGATGCCCATGACGGGCTCAAGGGAACCATCCACCATACCCATTGGCTCATGCAAGGAGGTGTTGTAACACGCAACAATAGACCATTCATCTTTCGTAACCGTCTCTGCAGGCGTCTCGCAAGTCTCAATGGTGGAGACATGTTCCATCAGCTTCCCGTCGTCCTGGTACCGATACCGATCGTAGAAAGCATTGAGCCTGCAAACGACCCTTCCGTTTTTGGTGAGATCGATATGCGTGCCGCCGTCATGCAAATGGCCTCCGACAAAGGTAATCATTCCTTGGGGGACCCCTTTCAGGATTGGACTGGAATAGTTGAATGTTGAATCCCGATAAGCAGGTACGTCTGAGGTTCTGCATCCTCCGACATCCAGCCAGTAAGGCGTGACTGCATAGAAGTCTTGAGTCTGGCGGCCTTCAATGTATTCGTAAGTTATCGTGAAAACAATATCAGTCTGTGGTTCGGATTGAAGCAAGTTCATCAAGTCGACGGAGAGCGCGATTTTATCTGAACGGCCGACGTAATAACCAGCATTAACTGTCCTTGAAGAGCGTTAGCCACTTCCCACGGTTTCAGGCTCAGAAGAAAGCTTGCCCGCCAGCTGATATATCGATCACCGTCCTTTCATTGCCTGAGGCGGCAAATCTCTGGCCATACGACCCGTCCCAGCAAACTGCATCCGCCCGATCTCTGTTCACCATTACTCCATGGTGAAGCCACATGCCTGTGTCGGCATCAGCCTTTCTTCCGTCAGCATACTCAATTCCCATTTGCAGCCAAGTGAGAACACAGTCTCGACATGGCAGCGTGGTCGAGTCATGAAAATATTGAGCCATGCCACCGTTCTCGTTCATTGGCGGTACTGAAACTGGTGCATATTTGATCGTAGCTCTTCGGGCACCATACTCAAAGAAGTACAAGGGAGTATGGAAAGTAGTTGTTGTCTCTGAGAAACGTTTAGAAACTAAGGTGCTGAATTATTCAAGGCTCTGTGCTCACTGGACGGAAGCAGCTTTCCACGCCCATGTCCCGCCCGGGCAAATGCTGAAAGGGACAAGAAACTAAGAAGAAAGAGAGGAGGTACTTGGACCATTGTGAATCTGTCAGTCAAGACTAGATCTGAAACAGACAATGTTCCAGAGACCAGCGCAAGAAGAACTCATCTTTCCCAGACGTACTGGAGAATAAAAATGTAGCAGCATCTAGGCAGACGAGAAAAGTGAAACTCAGAGACCGAGCTTGATGACGCATCTTCCCGATACTATACCATGTTGCGAGCACTGACGGCTGTGCCTTTACAACCTGGTAAAATCTAAAACTTGGCTACTCCGTGTAACTTGCCAATTGGTGGCAATGGACTGTTCGATATCTGGATATTGGCTGAAATATGCCCGGTTTTGTGGCTGGCCTCGCCAGTTGCTTAGGATGGGTCTAGGTCTGTATTAAATCACTAGGCCGACCTTTACCGGATTGGGAAATTGTTGTGCCCGCATGGAGTTTCCCCCTTTCCCATATTACGACATTATATTTGGCACCAGGAGGTCTTTGCACTTTGAAGTGCAGAGTCCAGCATGTAGAAGTGCGAAGCATATATCATGTCAAGGTTTACGATACAAATTGGGTTCACCGTAGCTGCTAGCGCTTTTTCCTTTTTTTTTGCCAGTACACCTGTCGCTCTCCTGTCTTTTCATACTTCACCTAGGTCACTCCCTGGCCACTCGTCAATGGTAGATCACGCATCTTCTTCGATTGAATTCTGCTTTCTCTCTTTTGATAAGAATGGGGTCCTATAGCCAGCAACTTGATCCTGTCAGAAGTCCTCGCTATTGGGGACGACGGGCTCGGTTCAAGTAGCTGCAATTTTCAATAAGCTAAATCAGGGTTTTGGTACATGACAACGGTTTACTCGCACGTTTCTGTAGTTTGACGGTCATTACACATCTTGGCTTCTTGTTAGTCCCAAGTCCAGGCATCTGAAAGTCACATGACAGTGGATTGAGCGACATGTACACCGTCCACTTTGGACGCCCGGGCAAGGTCGCGAGTCGTGTCCGAATACGTACAGGATAATAACCAGTTACGAGAACACCTCTCAACTGTGGACCATGCCTAGTTTCCCGTTCAGGTCCAGGTCAAATTCGTCATCTTGGTGGCTAGGACCATGGGCTCCATACGTGGAAATACTTCTGCCTGGAGGGTCGAGACCAAATCCATCCGTATATACCTCCTAAGCTGACTCCTTCGGCCTGAGGAATTTGCCATTCGTGTGCGTCACCTTTCTGGCACCTAGACATCTGTCTTGGGAATATTGCATCATGTACGGACAGGAGACCAAAGGTATTCAGGTCGATGAGACAAGATCGAATGGAAAGGCGAAGCTGATATCCGACATTGAAGGCTGTCCACCATACGAAGCCCCGTTAATTGCAGGCAACTATGCTTCCCCCGTGATGTAAGTATGAACTTGTTCAACTTTGTGCTTCCTGCTCATCTCAATGGGAAGGCATTATCATCCCCCTGCTCCACCAGTCAGAGTGATTTGCACGGCTGAGAACTGTTCGGCTCCGTCTTTCTATCCGGCCCTGACCGCAATCCACGACCTCGGCCATGTCGAAGCACTGGTTGACTGCCCGTACTGTGGCATAAGAGGAAAGACTAAGACAAGTTTGTGTAGCGGAAATATGAACCAGTCGGGTATTTTGATTAACGTTCAAGGACTGATACTGACATTAGTGGCGCAGTGCATGGGCGGGATGCTTGTTCTTTACCACCATCATATTCACTTTTGCCCCGTACATGTGCAGCAGCCTCAAGAACGTCGAGCATAGCTGCAGGAGCTGTGGAAAAAGGCTGGCGATCTGGCATCGTAGTGGGCATACAGTGCCAAAGTAAGACGAACAATGTCAGCACTGGAACGAGACTTCTCTGTTGAGCCGGACTCATCGACGGAGGTGCGATTTTGAGTGTTCCGCTTATACCAAATGCACGCCGTGTAAATGACACTGTGCATAATAGTCAATGTGAATGAGATTTTCTGCAGACATCATGTCACTGTATGTTTGAATTGAAGAAGGACTCCCAGTCTTGATCCAAGTCAGTCATGAAACCGAAAGATTCAGCCACCGTGCCGAGTTCATCTTGTGCACAATCCATGTCCGAATCAAAGCGATATATGCCTTCATATGCGATTGTCGGGGACTGACGATTGCGATCGCTGTCATGAATATTGCCGATCGAAGTGTTTGGATGACGGCTTGTATAGTCTGAGGGAATACTGTGCTGGCCCGATGTCCGTGTGCTGTCGGATCTCGATTGCCGTTCAGAAGTCACATAGAGCGTCCCAAAGAAAGGTATTGTTATCCTTGATGGGGCTGCAGAGCTCAGCGAGTTGTCCAGGTGAGCCAACACGAGCAGAGCTGCTAGACTTTTATGACATTGGCGAGAGAGATGGTTGACCCTATTTCCAGCCAACACTTGGAGAACATTCACGGTCTTGTTGATCAAATCGATATCATCCGGCGAGAGAGGAGTTCCTCCGTCGCATAACGACCCAACGACCAGTATAACTGAAGCCATAAACCCCACGAAATCGAGTGACTGGCAATCGAAGATGGGGTTGTCATTGACATGCGATCTCAATGCCAGATAACGCTTCAGCAAGTCCTTCGCAGAATCGATGGCGGTCAGTCTGCTGCTTACATAGAGGTGGGATGTTGGCGTCTTCAAGAGATATGGTAAATGTAGATATGTCCTTGTAAGGAAGTACTGCGCTTGGCAGATGAGCCTTTCTCGTAACTCATTCATGTCGGTCGAGTACGCATCTACCGGGATGTTGTGGTCCCACCAATTCCTTGTCATTGAGTTAGCGAGGGATGCGAGCTCGTCGTCGATGTCCAGAATGTCAGAGAATTTTGGTCCTTTGCGACTCTGAACTTGGTCAATCACGCGGCTTGTGAGCAGGCCCAAGCGGATTGCAAAGGGATAAGTCGCGTGCCCCACTTGACTAGTGTCGTCTGCATAGGTGACAACAAACGAATCGTCTGAAATAGCATATGGCAAACCAAGCAGGACGGACAAAAACCGATCACCGAGATACAGGGTCCACCAAGCCGCGCTGCGTCTGGGAGAGTTTGAATAGTTGCGGTGGAGGTTCTGCGACAAGTTAGCAATGCCCTCAAAGATTATTCAGAGATGTGCAAGGGCAGACAACCATGATCTGGGCCAAAGAGATACCGTGGCGGTTGCACAGAAAGGCACGACGAGGTTGACCGACGTCGAGATACACTTTTGCATGGAAGACCGTTAGAAGTAGACCATCCAAAGTGCTCGCAAATAGATCGTTTGCAAGAACCACATGATCAACAATGGGAAGATACTGCGAAGCTTCAGCTGCGTTGTGGCGACCATAAGACGAGACAAGATATCCGACTTCTATCGGAGTGCCGGTCGTATAGGTTCTTTCCAGAAACTGCGGGAGGTTTTCGTAAGCGGCATCTGCTCCGAAGGTCTTGATATGCCAGAAGTCCCACCACCTTGTGTCTCCAGAGAAACATTGTCTCAACTCGTCGTAGCTGGGTAAAGCAGCTCTGAGTTGGTCGCATATCGCATCTTCGCGCGTGGAACCCGACTTCTGAAAGTGGACATTCCGGCCAGCATGGGGATGAAAGTCCCCAGTATCCTCGTCCAATTCACTTGTGCTCGCGACTCGTTGAGTTGAGAGAAGCTGTTCAGAGTCAGTAAGGCTTCTCCGTCCACATGAGCAACATGGAAACGAAATCTCCTTATTTCGTACTTGAGAAGCTTCTAGTGCTGCAACCAGTGGAGCGTGGCGGGTGAGCTCAGCCAGATCATCGTCCGAATTTTCAGCTGTAACATCATCTCGGGCAGTAACGATAGGGGCAGCAGATCGAGCAATATCTTTCTTCTCTCGGGAGAGGGATTCCACTAATAATTCCAAGTCGGCCACCCTCTCTCTCAAAGTCTTCCTCTCTTCACTGGCATCGTCAGTCCCACGAGGCTTTGGCACAATGCACCGAATGCCGCGTGCAAGACACCGGGCGCATTCACCAGCGGAGTCCGGGCCATATGCACAGCGGACTTTTCTGCGCCTACCTATCAACAATTAGACGGACTTCATAATCAGACCTCACGTTGTAGGAGAAAAGAGCTTAGCAGGCTTAGACAGGACGGTTAGATGCTGGCTTCTTACACTCAGAGCAAGTCCGAGATCCCTCACGGAGTCTCTTTGGTATTCTCGAGGTCTTAGAGGTTTGGGACATTTCACACGAGAGAGAAGCGCGACTTTGTTGAGTGTTGAGAAGGCGCACGGTTGGCTAACGAAGCGAAGTGATGATGCATAGGAGGAGAGCAAGCGAACAGGGAACAAAAGTTACAGGGAAAGTAACCCGGATTTCGGAGTTTAGGGAGTTAAGCGCTCTATTTTTGCACTTCTCACCAACCAACCCGAAGTCTCCACCCCCTGTTCTCTCTACCGGGTACTCGGTCCTGCACTTCAAACGATGGCCTAGATGCAAATTCACCATGGTTAATAAGACTGTCACCTGCCTGGCTGTTCTCAAGTTGACTGCGACAACATACCTTAGGTTCTTCCACACCCTCAAACGCCCCCCACCATAGCTCGAGCTTTGTGGGGTTTGTCGGTCCGACATGCTTGTCCCGATGGCCGGATAGAAACGCGTGAGGATAGCCTAGATCTACGGGAACGGCTTCCTCAATTTCTCGGATGTCCTCTGCGGAAAGTTGAATGCTCAAGTTGTCGATGTTAGCCTGAAGCTGCTCGACTTTGCGACCTCCAACGATTGGGAATACATAGGGCGCCTGCTAAAGGTTAACGACTATCACTAAGTCTCACCCTCAACATGGCCTGCTCACCTTCAGTGTAACGTATCTCAAAGCGATACCAAATGTGTTTGTTCCCTTCCTGTTAGCCACGCGCTCCAGAGCTGCGGTGGCACGCTCGTATGGTTCAAGTCCCTTTCCGGAAAGGTCGTATTCTGGTCTTCCTCCTTTTTGGGCCTTCTCGGCCTTGCTTTTGAATTTGCCAGCGCCCATTGCTTCCCAGACCGTGATAGCCATTCCCTCTGCTTGGCACATTGGGACTATGTCTCGCTCGATGTCCCGGGCCACAACATTCCACAATCCCTCGTAGACCACAAACGGAGTCAAGCAATGTTGCCGGGCATAATCATTTGCCTTGACGACCAACCAGGCCGGCCAGTTGGAAATCCCCAGATACAGGACTTTACCCTGTTTGACGACGTCATCGAGGGATCGCATCAGCTCCGGAATGCTTGTCACTCCGTCCCAGGCATGCACATAAAGGATGTCGACATAATCTGTCTTCAATCGCTCCAGGCTCTCTGCCAGCGAGAGACGCAGACTCTTTCTATTGGCGCCGCCAAAATTGGAGGTAACACTTCCCTCCGGCATCTGTTCGGGGAATTTGTAGGGTAACGCGAACTTGGTGCCAATGATCATCTGGTCTCTGACTCCACGATCAGCCATCCAGTCACCAAGCCACTCTTCCGATTGTCCCGCCATGTAGAAGTTTGCAGTGTCGATGAAATTGCCACCGGCTGCATGAAAATGATCAAGGATTGCATAGGTCGTCTCCTTGTTGCACTCGCCCACTGTCGAACTCCTATGCTTCAGTTAGCAGGTGCAATGGAGGGACGGGTGATCGATGGGTTCGATCGTTGGTACGAGGTCCGCCTACTGACCATATTTCTCCGAAGCCCATGGCCCCCAAGCAGAGAGGGGAGACAAGGATGGACGCATTGGGACAAAGGAGGCGATGGTGACCGAGCTTGGTCCGTGGCGGTGGTGCGGCTGAGGGGGGCATTGTGAGAGCCGTTGTGAAGGATGGAGGAGTACGAGGTAGTAACAGAGGTTGGTTGTCAATGCCCTCACCGCAAGCTACAAGATGGCGGCCATTTATGCTTCATATTTTCATTACTTTGCGGAAAGAAGCGGCCCGAGTCTTCTCATTGTTGTGAGGGTCGAAGCCTCGAATTTGACTCATGAAAGATGATTATTCTCTCTTCATTGCGCTACATCGCGCTACATCGCGCTGCCATGCATGAAGATGCGGGCCGCTTTTGTTCCGCTCTCGACCGCCAAGCAACATGATTTGCCGACGAGGCTGACGAGGCAAGAACAAGAATCCATATAAGGTTCGCGGCCACTGCGCCAAAGAACCTTTCCAGACTCGAAAAACCAATGGAATGTCGTTGGGACAAACGAAAGTCCCTATTTACAACACAGTTTCCTCGTATTTGCCCTCGGCTATGGATGCTTTCCAAACGTGGCGCCCACATGGCCAGTGGATGCGGAAAGGGACCAGATCTGGGCGCGTCATTCTTTTGCTACATGGGATAAACTTACCAATGCTTCTCTTGTTTCCCCTTGTCGTCTCTATGTTGTACGTGTAATACGCCCGGTCTCGCAACCCGATAGGCAGGCTGCGCTTTGATTACATGTTCAAAGGAAGAGTTTGGAACTTCTTGGGCTTACCTCAGTGTTGCCTGTGTCACAGCCTAGGCACCAGGTAATGTTCATGTTGCCCGCAATCAGAATAAAGCCATATCTAAGTTTTTGACGCGCGTTGAGACATTAGGCCCAGAACGTGGGACGGGCAAAACCCAGAACTGTGGCGCAGCCGACAATTCCCAAAAGTCATGGAGCCCCTTCTAGATCGCGCCCTTTGGGCCCAGCAGAAGACGCAAAGTCCACTCGGAAAGACTATCGGTCCCTCAAAAACAAGCCTCCTACAGCAACTCGTCTCGCTATCGCCGCCTTGATGTCTAATAGTCGACAGACAGAGTCTCGCTTGATATTGCTACGCCTACATGGCACCAAACTGGCATCGGGAGTCCCGACATGCGAGCGATGGCAACGTATTTCAACATTTTGGGTATAAAGTCCAAAGATCAACCACCAAAGGAAAGGATGAACTCTGCCTCCTCTTGTAGTTTTGCACTTCAATCGCGCAGTTGCATCGACGAAAACTCCGGCAGAAGCGATGGATCAAGCGGCAAGCCTCATGAGCGGTACAGGCGCAACACTCGCTGCAGTCATTCAGCACTGGCACTGCAAGGCGGCACCTCGAAAGGCAGGCGTTGAACCTCTCCCGGACGAGCCAAAAAGAGCGTACACAGGCACAAGGTTCGACGTCACCGAGTTGCAGTCATCTACACCAAGCACACCCAACAAGACATTCTCCGAAGCCCCTTTGCGAGAGTGGCCGCATGAACCAGTCCCAATCACCAATGAACCGGTGGTCGAGCGATCTCTAGACGCAGTCGATGTGATACTACGTCTCCTGCCATGCGTCCTCATCATGAAAGCCGGACTCTGTGTCCTTGCCTCCGAAATCGACAAGACGCATGTGGGACCCTCGATCGACAAGACCAGCCAACTGACCCTCCACCTGATCAAGTTCAACAGCCAGCTCACCACCATTTCCACAATCATTTTCATCGTGATAGTCTCCACAATCGTGTGACGGTACGCCCTGTGGCGGCGGAAAAGGGCGCTACGCTCGGGGAAATCGAGCAACTGCACGCATCCATCAGCTTGACAGCGACCCTCAAGACCATCTGGTCACTGTGGCGGTTCACCTTCACTAGCTTGGCTTTGATCTTTCTTTGGTCTTGGTACTACGTGGGATCGCAGGCAGAAACAAGACAGCACTCATACCGCAACTCTGCCAGCTTTGGCATTCCCTCGGTTACATTTCTCTTTTCGCACGCAATACCTCCTTTCCAAGGGGACCAAATTGACATCGACAAGGTTTCGCCCATCAAGCTAACTGACATGACCGCCCGATATCACCTGTACAGCTCGTTTGCGGCGGGGACGCAGAAGACCAATGTGCAAGGTGCCAGAGCGGTACAAGGAGCAGACATCTACGGAGCCACTCTTACCCCGTGGTACGGCCCCGCGCGAGACAGTTCTTCTCTCGAATTCGACCGGAAGGGTTGGCTAGGGATCCCGCACATGTCTGACCAGCCTGTCATGTCAACGATTGGGACATCGATGTATTGGATGAACCGGACGGAAGGGGCGAATGCCTGAATGCCGCAGAAGATGGTCGGGTCCTTTATCTACGAAGTGTCCAGCTTCCAAGCAAATTGCACCGCGCCCTTTCTCCCCACAAAGCCCAAGCCAAAGGGATTATTGCACGCGGTATCCACCGCGATGAACATGACCACCATGCCTGAAGACCTGAACAAACCCTGCGAATTATATTTCTGGAGTTGAGCCAACGACACCCACAGCTTTGCCTCGACCTGCGAGATGACCAAGGTTACTGTCCAGATCGACGCCATCTGCACCGCAGCGACCTGCAAGCCCACGCGGATGAAACACATCAGCACCTCCCCGCGCATGTTGCTCGATTCCGACGTCTTTGCCACTCCCTTCCTCAACTCCCTTCTCCTAGCGTGCGGGATGCCGCAACACGAAGGCGACTATTCGACCTTCGACAGCGATAACGGCCTGGTTGACCTGAAGAGCGACCTCAACGGAAACAGACTCAATAGTCCATACCTTCTCGAACAGCGGAGTACCGAAGCTCAATTCTCACTATCGATGTCGGTCACGCGATATATGAACACGTATTTCACATCATCCCAGATGCTCCGCTATGAGAGCAGTTTCCAGGATGACTTGGCAGTCAAGGGGTCCATCACGCTGAACGACAACTCGGACTTTAGTTTCTTGACCATGGACGGCGCCATATATAATTCCCAATATTCTCTGTAATGACCGTGGCTGATCATGGACATTCTATCCAACGCAGTCCTTCTCGGCGCGGCAATCTGCGCACTGTGGCTGAGAAAGCACACCCTCGCACCCGACATCTTTGGTTTCGTGAGCAGCTTGACCAGGGACAATCCGAATTTGCGTTTGCCGGAGGGAGGGAGCACGCTTTCAGGCATTGAGCGCGGTAGAAGGTTGAAGATGGCGAGAGTAAAGATCGCGGATGTGGGGGAGAATTCGAGCGTGGGGAGGGTTGGCTTGATGCAGGTCGATGGGACAGATGTGAAGGATTTAGAAAAAGGGAGGTCTTACTACTAATCATGTAGAACCCCCGTAATTTTCTGACAGTGGTGAAAATTTAATATTGACACGGCCTATTGATCAGATATCATTCTTTCTACTGAGATCCCGACTTGCCTGCTCGAATCCATTCCTACCAATTGTCTAATAATGCTGTTGGGACGTTGACGGATTGGTTCCCTGGACGAACTACCCGATCAAAAGACCAGTCCATCTAATGTCCTCCTGCTATCGAATCGTAAATCCGCCATCGACTCTGACATCCGCCCCATTAATCATACCACTCTCGTCTCGACAAAGGAACTCGATAGCACTGGCCACCTCGTTGGGGACCGCAAACCTCCCCGTGGGAATCTCGGCCAAGTGCTTCGCCTTCTTGTCTTCATCTGCCCACGCTTTCGCCGCCAACGGGGTCCACGTCACTGTCGGCGAGACTGTGTTTGCAGTGATTCCCTTCGATGCCCACTCCGACGCCATGCAGCGGGTGAGTCCCAGCAGGCCAGCCTTGGAGGCGCAGTAGGCGCCGTGGCCATCGAGGGCGACGTGGGCAGCTTGTGATGCAATGCTGACGATTCGTCCGGGGGGCGGGGTTCCGTTGATCTGTGCTGCTCTGGATTGATAGAGGTGGAAGAAGGCATTGCTGCAATTGAACGGGCCCAGAAGATTCGGCAGAATATTCCTCATCGCCTCTTCCGCCGAGGTTTCTTCGAAGGGCTGTACCGAGACATAGCCCGCCGCGTTGATCAGTATACTCGGGAAGGCCTTGAACGCCAAAGGATCGGCAAGTTTTCCGTTCTTGCCCAAGACCTCTTTAACAGAGGCCTCCGAGGTAATGTCACATTCAAACGTCCACACCCTTTCGGGCTTCTCAGAACCAAACACCCGCTTCACCGTGTCGATCACGTGGTCTCGTTCAAATGGAGCGTATAAAAGGACCACACCCGCTCCAAGCGCATGAAGACGAGAGGCAATTGAGGAACCGAGTCCGCCTATACATAGTTGAGAAGGTCATCGGATTGATCGGGGAAGTAGAAACGATATCGTCCTGGGTGGAAAGTGAACTCACCGATTCCGCCTGCTATTATGGCCAGACGTGCTTCATATGTCAAGGTCATGTTTCGAAGAGGTTGAGCAAGGTATGAAGAAGGGGCTAGAATCGTCCTTGAAGGCCTTATATACTCAATGCCCCAGGTATTATATTAGTGTGTATGGACCCCGCACAGAATTACTCCATACATGCTCCTACAGTATTACTCCGCACCGCCATATATCTGGTAGTCTCTGCCAGCCAAGTACTGATGCCATTTATGGTTACACATCCCAAGTACCCAGATACCCCAGTTTTCCAGAGTTGTGGCCTCTGACCGGCAACCAGGGACCAAGCGAGCTAGAAATGTATTCTCGACTTTCCACCCCATCACGGAAGGCTACGTGATAGCATCAAGTCGATATTAAAAACAACAAGTTCCAGAGTTGATCTCGTGTCATTAGATCCGGTGCCAATATATATACTTAATAGCTGCAGCTCTCAGTCTCTGTGCACCCTGGGAATATCACGCTTCTTCCATCTCATGGACAAATTCCTGTATGAGGTCGCTATGAAACTTCTCAACGGTAACAAAACACTCTCTCAGAAGATTTCCACCATCACTACCCCCTCGACCAGGAAATCTTGATCGCTGAGACTACCATGGGTTCTCAACTTTGCGATGTGGAATTCGTTTGTACCCCGGTCATACCTTCACGACCCTCTGGAAGCCACTGGGCCCTTAGAGTAGGACTAGCTTTGTAATCGGTGATCGTGGGTGGAACTTCCCATCTTTGAAAGCCCTTCAATAGGTTATCTTTGCCAAGCTGGCAAGGCTGGCATCGACACAGGCCCTACCCACGTCACAGTCCCAAGGGTGTTGAATTGGTTAGGGAAGATATAGACATAGGCACATCCGTCCCCAGACCCGAATCAAAAACCGAATGGATTTTGTGCAGCTACAGCCTTGTCAGCATTTCTGTCCTCAAATGTAATCCCTGAAATGAAAACTTACTCGCATTGGCGAGGTTTGCTCTTCTTCCCGTTGGCTGAGGAGTCAACTTCTTGGCTTCAGGAACACCAAATTTCACGGGAGGAGCGGGACCGGTCTTTTGCGGCTGCAAAGGTGCGATGGCTGGAAGTTGAGGAAGAGGTGGCATCGGTGGCACTGGTGGCGTTTGGAAGTTCCCGAATCCATTCTGCTGCGGCGCTTGCCCGAAACCGGTGGGTTGTGGTTGCAGTGGCTGCTGAAAGGCTGTTTGCTGAGGTTGAAGGGGTGCCGGCTGAGGGAACCCTGCCTGTGATTGGAGACTTTGACCAAATCCGTTGATCTGCGGCTGTGGAGGAGATACAAACCCTGTCCTTTGTGGTTGGAGTGCTGGTGGGAGAACCGTGTTGATGCCGCCCGGTGGCGGGCTTTGTTGAAATGGAATTCCTGTCGGTTGGGGCTGGAAAGGTGGTCGAGGATCTGCAAAAGGACTTCCGGCTGCATTCCCATTAATATATGGCTGCTGTGGGAACTGACCGAATTGCTGCGACTGTTGGAAACCTGTAGGTTGCGGAGCCAATCCAAATTGTCCAATACCTTGATTTGGTTGAATGAAACTAGTAGCCTGAGGCTGCAACTGCAACTGTTGGAATTGCTGCTGCAGACGTTGTTGCGAGAGATCGTTCAAGCTTTGCCCAGGAGGGGCTTGCAAAGCAGATGCCCGTGGAATACCTGTCAGTTGTGGTTGCAATGGTTGCAGTCCGAACTGGTTTTGTTGAGGATTTTGAGGAGCGGAAGTCGGGCGAGGAGGAGGCGGGAGCAATCCAGCACCAGTAAAGCTTTGCTGTGGTGCCAATGGTCGCTGTCTGGGGATGTTTAACTGTTGTTGCGATTGGAAGGCAGTCATCTGAGGTTGCAGTTGTGCGGGTTGTTGGTTTAGTTGCGAGAAGAAAGCAGGATTGGCACCGGTCTGTTGGGGTTGCTGAATAGGAGGAGATAGGACAGCTGCGGGGGCAGCCTGCGGTTGAGGCTGTTGTGGTGGTGGCTGTTGAACCGGCGCAGGAGCAGGGGCTGGAGTAGGCTGAAGAGGAGCCGGCAGCGGTCCATCAAGCAGGGAAGACAAATCCTTCGTTGCGCCTGTTGGATGCCTGGGCCCTGGTGACGGAGTGGCAGCAGCAGGAGCAGCAGCAGCGGGGGTGGTAGTAGTTTGTGAGGCGGCGGGAGGGTGAGTAGGTGCCTTGACTGTCCAAGCATCATCGTCAAAACCACTCTTGACAGGCTCCCTCGGAGGCGCCTGAGTAAGAGGCGTGGGCCTTGCATCCGAGGGTGGCCTCTTCTCGTCCTCTTTAGGTGTGAAGGCATCCGCGTCGACAACGTCGCTTGTTGACCGAGTTGTCTCTGGCCTGCCTCTGCGTGTATTGTTATGCAATGTTCCACCTGGACCCGAGAATAGTCCGCCCTGTGCTGACTCCCCGTTGATTCCGTTGGTCGTGGGAGCTCGTGTTCGCGCAAATTTCTGATCCAAAAACTTGATGACCTTCAGTATATCGCCCTCCTTAAAACCCAAGGTCCGCAGAGTTTCGGGTGTGATATCGGGAAGGACACTTTCATCCATCGAGTCCCGGATCATGGCCTGAGCATATCGGTCGCATTGATGGGGGCCAACACCCGCCTCGAGAAAGAAATCAAACCAATCATATTCGGGGATTTTCGGTTTTTCTGTTGCCCTGGCGTCAACGCTGGCTCCGGTCCGAGTGTTAGATTGTTCTTGATTTCGATGTTTCATCTTGATCAAATCAGCCACTGGAATGTGCTCCTCGATCGGTTCGTTTGTTACCTGCTCAACATAGTCAAGGTCTTCAGGTGACATCTTCGTTACGGGAACGGCGATCTTGACACCATTGACCTTGTGCAAATGGATCTTGCCACCCGTCACTCCCAAGAACTCTGCTTCAACCTTGAACGTCCCTGAGTGGTCGGTCCAGGTCCTTACTTTGGCAGGATCTGGCTTCGACCGACCCCCTTCCCGTCCATCTCTCTCTCTCCGGCCCCGCCGGCGAGGTCGTTCATCGGCGAGGCTACTGCCGCGTTGGGGAATTTCACTGCGAGGTCTTGCGAGCTCCGCCTCCTGACGGGCTCTGTCAGCTTTGGCCGCCTCTCTTGCCAGACGTTCTTCTTCGAGTCGATTCTGGTCTACCACAGACAAACCAGCATTGGCGCCAGAGCGCGAAGGTGGCTCTATCGTTGAAAAGCCAGTAACCTCAATGTAGCTGCTGGGCACGACGCCTTCTTTGCCATTCTTCAGGCGCCTGACATTCCACCATTCTTCAGATTTAGTGTCATCGAGTATGATGACCTCGTCCCCGACGCCGACTGTTACTTCATCGTCGCCTTGAGCCATGAAATCGTAGAGAACCTTTCCCTTCTTGTGGGTGCCGCCACTGCTGGCAGCGGTGATGACTTCCCGAAGACCTTCGGCCCGCTGGGCACCCGCAATTTCTCCCAGCGCTGACACGATCTCTTCTGCCGTATCCCTTGCACCAGCGTGCAGATCTAGACTTTTGCTTGGCCTGACCAGCTCAATGAAGACGTGTTTTCCCTCGATAGAATAGTGCCTCATTTTATCTGCAGTCCATTCTTGTGATGGTCCATCTCTTGACCTTTCGGGAGCGAGCATGATCGTACCCG